GCATATTTCCCTTTTTAATCGGTTATCACAACTTATTTCTTTTATATAATTTAAATCAAGTTTTGATTGAATAATTCAGTGATGACGTTTTATGAAATAAATAAACGATTGCTTGTTGTCAGTTTCATTAAAAATTGCCAGTAACTTAGATCCGCCAACCGGAAACGCCACCGTACTCACGTTTTTGCTATTTCATGGCTGTTTATAGAAAATAAAAGTAGACTTTTAATTTAATGTACGATTCTTACTATGCAAGTGAAATCTAAATATAGTTTACGGACATCGTCTTGTATCTAGTGTATTGTTAGAGGAGTAAGTAAGAACTCTGGTGCAGCCGTTTCGGAGTTTATTTGCAAAATTTATTAATTTATAAGTATAGATTTTAAAAGACAGCCCTTAAACATAGGTTTAGTGTCTAATGCCCCTCTTGGCACACTATTTGCTACCAGTAAGTCTTCGTTCATCGACAGAGAGCATTTTGAGTACGGGTTTAAATATACTTTCATTAAATATCTTCCCTTGCATCGACCAGCTCTACTATAATTATGGATGGCCACTCCTCTTATATAAGCTTGGAAATATACTGAAGCTGGCCAAGGAAAACAACATGTACATTTATTTTCTCTGCGTTCCCCCTCATACAACCAGCGAACTTCAGCCTCTTAACAAGTGCTTATTTAAACCACCGAAAACAGGGTATAATAAAGCTTGCATGTAGTTCTAAAAAGAAAATATGTGGCAGATAATGACAAGATACGATTTTTTGTGAACTGTTCATGATAGCCTATCACAAAGTCTTTACGATGCTGAATGCTGCTACTGCCTTTCGTAGCAAAGGGTTTTTTTTTTATTTAATCCCACAGCGATGCTAGAATAGGCTTGGACCATCAAAAATTTCACAATTACTAAATCTGGAGACGACTGTAAATTTAAAGAAAATAAGGCATCCGAACAAGAATCCACCGACGTTGAAATTGATGCTGATGCAGATTTGTCGTCTACTTCTGCTGACAGGGCGCAATGTCTACAATAATATAACTAGCCTATTTAGTGCATTTCAATATGTCTCGTGTACAAAACACCCAAGGTAAACAATGACTTTTAAAAACAGTTTTGTATTTATTAAAATCAAATTTATCTGAAAAAAAAAATACATAAATGTTTCTATCCAATCCTTTCACGTTTATACAAACAGAGTAAACAATTGCATTGTTATGAAGTTTAATGTCAGCTGCGTAGAATAGTAGTCCCTATGTTTTGGTAGGCTTTTAATCTTAATCACAAACTCTGAAACCGGTAAAGGTAGCCTAGTGATAGGGTTTGATTCTTATTCGACACCTCGTTAAACATAAGACGTAAACATAGGTAGTGAAAGTCACGGTTCTTTTGGATGAGAAAATTAAGAGCGAGGTTTCGTGTCATAGGCGTTGCTCGATGAAGAACCCTCACTGCTCAATGGCGCTGAGTGCCAAGTATAGCCCTCCACGGGTATATGGTGACGTCTCTATATGTGTGATAAATTCTCGAATGGGACGTAAAACAATCAATCTTAAACTCTGAATGATATTCAGTATTTTTTCTTCATCTACCTTTTCTCAAATTAAATTTCCCAGTCTGCTGGAAATTATCAGTGCATATATCGCACAAAAATTTCGTTATACACATGACCTAGCCCAAGACTAGATTTGGCAAGGTAAGCAGTCACCATCAACATCATGATGAATATTCCTTACTGAAACCATAAATATGATATTTTTAGTTGAAGTTTATAAGGTTATGTTTGATTTTTAATCATAAGTGGCTTGTGTCTCCATAACTTTTCCGACCGAAGTTCCTCTTTTGTTTCTATTACCCTACATGGTCGTGTTTCCTGTGCCTTTTAAGCCATCGAATACCGCTTCTCACGGTAACGGAAAATCCCTGAAAATAATCTGCTCATTGACACGTATTCCCAAAATTCAGTTCTGGTTCGAATGATTATAAAGCATCAGCCATTATATTAAATTTATTTTTTCAACTAATATTTTCAACATTAGTTAATTATCATCATTTTCAACTGATTTTCAATTCAGTTTGGCTATTATGCCGTTTCGTTCCATTTTCATTCTGCGTTTTAGAAATACAGTCCCTGAAACGTTCTACTTTCCCACTTGAACGGTGAGCGAACGCTGAACGAACGGTGAACGAACGCTGAACGAACGCAGAGCGAACGGTGAGTGAACGATGTGTGAACGCTGAACGCAACTTGGTGAACGATGTGTGAACGGTGAACGGTGAGCGAACGCAGAACGCGAACGGAGCGCAAACGCGAACGCAAAGTGAACGGTGAACGAACAGTGAACGCAAGATGAACGATATATTCGGAATGCCTCTGATCTTTTCCTTGCATTGAAACTATTTTATTGTATTATAATGTCAGGTGCCAAAAAAAATAAATAAATAAATAAGTAAACCAATAAATGAATGAATAAATAAATAAATAAAATAAATTCTCCAAAATTGTCCTAAGAAAGACGATTCATGCACATTAAGTTTTTAATCATACGATTTTAACGCATTAAAACATTGCAATTGTTGCCGAACGCTGAAGTATAAAAGATATTTTTTTAGTTGGAAAATAAAAATGTTTATTCTTATTTGATAACAAATCAGAGAAAACTTCTGACTTATAGAATGAATTAAAGCGATTGTAACATCCATTCATATATCTCCGTGTCAAGGCGATTTCATGTAAAGTAATGAAAAAAAAAAATAATTACAAAGGTCAGTGGACGTTTTGCATTTATACGCTCGTATTTTAAATTTTAATACAATAATATATTATGTGTCATTTCTATTTTTCATGATGATTTATTGAGCAGACTTCTACATGTATCTGTAGATGGCCGTGATTATACTCGGACAAGATAATACAAAGATACATATTCATATTATTTGTTATAAATTCAATTTTCAGAACTTGATATTTAAGTAATATGCTGTTATAATTTTTATTAAACAGACAAATGAGAGAGAGAGAGAGAAAGAGAGATTCCGTTTTAGCCCCCCCCCCCCTTCCTTTCAGGCTTCACTAAATGTTTGTACCTATATCAAACAATAACTCTGAAATTTTTTTCTAAATATATTAGACAGTGAAAGTAACTTTTTTTTTCTTATCAACAAATCATATCCATCTGTTTGACAGTTTTTATTTTCCTGCTTCAAGTTTACACGAAGTCCACGTGCTTGTCCTGTCAATCAAAATCATTCGACACTGTGCAGGTGTGAAAGTTTCGTCACATCGAAGACGAAGTGCGAGTATTTCCAACAAGTTATAACATTTATTTTTATCATTTCTAGATTTGATACCAACATTTGAATAATAAATGAATAAAATATATTGGGCATTAACACTTGAATTTGAAACATATTCTCTGCCAATTTCAAATACCACCGTCGACACGTGTACATTGTGAACTACTATTGTTTTGTGACTTTTTTAGATGCATTTTTGCTTTGAGACTGAAATTTTTGTTCTAAAAAAGACCTTAACTTTTTTTAAACAGGTTAATTAAAATTTTCTGGAAATACAGTACTGACTAAGTAACCGATTTAGGGGAAAGGGGGGGGGTGTATTAATCTTATCGAATGGCAAACATATAAAGTTAAGGTGAAGAAAGAATTTTTTTCTCTATAACTATAGACTTTACATACATGTATTATAGTAGCGAAAATTCTGTAGTGCATTACATTTTAAATAAATATTTCCTTTAAACACACTATCAATTTAATTCGCTCCAAAGATAATAAATTAACAGGATATCCGCAGTACTATGTATAACTCTCAGAACTAGTTCTATCATATTTTCTGTAGTAACTGAATAAAAAAACGCGTTAGAAATAAATATTTTCGTAATTTTGCTGCGTAATTATTTGACTTGGATAATTATATCTCCATTAACGATTTGTCGTCTTTAACAAAACAACAAAATGTTGCAGTGCTTGAAGTATTTGCACATTGCCCTAAATTAGTTAAATTTAATATATCAGCATCTTTCTACATAGGTACCGAATGTGCTTATAACAACATTTATTTTCCAGAGTAATTTAATAAATAATCTAATAGCTAAGTTAGAATAATAAAAATATATATCTTAGATATTTTCCCCCATGAAATAATGATTCTTCAAACACGATATGTTAGTTATTAAATTAAAAAATCTGTAACTCATTACCTACAAAAAGATAAGTCCTTTCACTTGGGAGTTCCGAATGGCAATGAAAACTGAACGATAAGTGAACGCTGAACGCAAGGTGAACGCAAAGTGAACGGAACGAAGAGCGAACGCTGAACGCTTTGTGAACGGTGAACGCGAGCGCACGGTGAACGGTGAACGCAAAACTGTGAACGGAGAGCGAACGGTGAACGCACGGTGAACGAACGGTGAACGCACGCTGAACGAACGGTGAACGAACGGTGAGCGAACGGAAAAATGGGAAAGTAGAACGTTTCAGGGACTGTACCCCTTATTTAACGGACCAAATCACTCGGTATATGTTATCTGAAAACAAATCTTTTTAATGTTATTTTTAGCAACCAAATTTCTGTGTTTAAATTCGTGTTAAAGCAAAAGAATCACGTAGATTTAGAAGGAAGTTATTTAATTTTGATCTATTGATTAAAAGGACTTTGTTCTAAATCTTTATCATACAACTGCTTGATTTTTAATGAATTTTCTTCTGATTGATTAAATTGTGAAGCAGTTAACGTTAATATTGAAATAATGCCAAGACATCGTTGGTTAGGTATATTCGTCATTCGGAAGTCCCACGATCCTAATTTTAATTACACACATGTAAATTCAGGGCTTGTGTGTTTTATGTTATAAAAATGAAAAGCTGGAGGATATCCTTGGTATTTGGTACGTAACCACTCTTTCTTTATTCTTCTCTCTCTCTCTCTCTCTCTCTCTCTCTCTCCATTTACATGCCTTTAATTAAATTAGCACTCCTATTTAAAGGAATGTGGTTTTCCATCCCTGCAATACTATGCCATTGGGAGACTCGTCCAGACAACGGATTTGCTTATTTATTTGAAGATGGGAAAGTAACCTGGTCTGAGGCAGATGAACGGTGTAAAAATTTCGGTGGAACATTAGCGATTCCTCGTTTTAATGAGGATCAGAACTTCATCGTTAGTAAGTATACATGTATCCTGTGTTTAAAATAAATCACACCTACATCAAATATTTCACATTGTTTTGATTTGACAAGCCAATTTGTGTCAGAATAATTCGCTTGATTTTGATTTATTATTATTTTTCTAGATACCCTTCACACGCTGAATAAATCCGGATATTTTTACATAGGAGGTAGGAAATCCGACGGCGGGATGTGGACTTGGATAGATGGGACCTTTATCAATAAATCAGATCCACGTTGGGGTGCGGGTAAGGCATGTTTTCTTGGTTCTACATTTTATCTCTTTATTTTCCAATGGCGTATTCATGTATAAATGTCATGGATTACGCAAATTGTTCAGCGTTTTTGATTACGAGAACCGTTCAAAAGTATATATTCTTGTGTTTAGTGGGGAAAAGTGTAACAAGATACCCATGGGCCACAATGGTCATCTGATTTTGACCTTGTTATCTTTCTCAGATTTTTATAAAGATTCCCCCCCCCCAATATTTCATGTCAATATTATTTAATCCCCTATTGCGGTCCTGCATTTCCCCGGAGTGCCATGATTTGAAAAAGAAATCATTAGGTTCTACACATTATTCGGACGCATGCATAGTAATTTAATTTATTTTTATGATAATTAAGCACTTGTTCATTACATGTTAAATATCAACTATTTTCAATTGCATCTGAATTAAAGAAAGATTCTTATTTCTTCGTATTTCAAACTTTATGTTTGTTAACTTCCCTTCAATCTAATTTAAGCCTTCTTTTACTGCTGCATTAACTGAAAGAGAAAATGCATCAATTAGATGTACTTAAAATGCTGTATAGATATACATGTATCATTTCATAAGTTTAAATGCTTTATGACGTCTTTTCATGCAGGTGAGCCGAACGATGTCAAAAGCAATGAAGATTGCGTAGAACTTCGGAAATATGAAAAAATATTTAAGTGGAATGACATTCCATGTGGCGCTCGCAATGGTTACGTTTGTCAATGTACGTAACTAAGTAAAAAAAATCGTATATTGGAAAGTAATCTTATAGATGTATTATATCTATTCATTTTTAGCTATTTAGCATGCCAGTCAAGTTATGTCTTAAGAGAACTATTTCGCTCAAATGACACGTTTTTGAAGTTTCCGTCGTTGTTTTGAACATATACTTTTACAAGGCTGGTGTTGGTATTCTATGATTACGGATATATAGCATTATATTGCAGATTGAAAATTACAGCTACAATATTTGTCGACGAGTATCTTTCGAATCTTTCAAAATTTTTATGTTTAAAAAAAACTTATCTAGATTTTGATGTAACCTAGAAAGTACCCATCTAGCATGATGTTGAAAGGAGTATTAATATTAACACCTGTTCTCTTCCGCTTAATATTTATGTATAGTTCGCTGTTATCAGACTGTTATCAAATTTTATTAAAAACTAAAACTGTTAATGTATTGTAAATTGATATTTTCCAAGAAGTTTTCGAGAGGGACGTTAAAAACAAGAATTTAAATATTTACAGCTTAGTCAATATTATTAACAGTTATGTTCATTTAAAACAGATGATGTATTTCATATGTATGTTTTTTTAAATAGACAATGCGTGTCTCTCCTCGCCTTGTATAAATAATGGAAAGTGCACACCCATGGGACGGGTTTATGATTGTGAATGTGAACTGACTCTCAGCAATAAACACAGCTGTAATATAGGTAACTTTACATGAAAAAATTCTATGAAGGTGAATCTATTTACGTACTTCCCGAACGAGTATTCTAATGAACGAATAATTTGATCGTTAATTGTTACTAGCAAAAATCAAAATACAGACATATGTTTATGATTAATGAACTGAAATAAAAAAATAAATTCTAAGAAATTCCTATAGAAATGAAAGTATGCAAAAAGTTACGTAAAGGAATAAAGCATTTCTAGGTTGTCTAAGAATTTTTACTTCAGAAGTGAACAAATATCATTAAAACAATGGAACATGGTTAACATTTTTCTCTCAGCAGCTTTTAGGGTGTAATTGGTATGAGTATACATCTCTATGCCTCCTATATTGTACCTCAAGATTTATGATTATAGAATAATCTCATTTACTTATTGTAAAAAGGGAGAAGGTAAACACGTGGTAACAATGAATTCATCTTAGATTGCAGCCCTGGTCCTGCTGATATTGTTTTTGTTGTGGACACTTCCTCTAGCTTAGAAAATAAAACAAACAAGAGCTTGGAGCATATGGGTAGAATTTTAGATCGACTTCCTCTAGGCAAAGAAGGATTTCAAGTGGCAATTATTTCATACGATTTTGAACCAAAGGAACTTTTAACCCTTGGGCAATATCAAAATGCAGAGGAGATTAAAAAAGTTGCCACAGGAATCCACTTTGAGACACAAGGTTCCACATACACAGAAAATGCTCTGAGGAAAAGCTTCGAAGTGAGCTTTCATTATTTTAAATGGATATTAATAATCTAATTAGGAAATTTATTCAAGAATATGATAAAAAAGAACATCATATTTACATTTTTTTTAACAACAGATACTCACTGATGAAAATGCAAGACAGAAAGCTCACAAATTCATCGTACTCATATCAGATGGGCTGTCAACCGATAGATATGAAGCCATTAAGGAAGCAGAACGTTTCCTGTCGTGGCCATATCACGTGATAACCACAATAGGAATAGGAGAACAAATTGACCATTTCGAGCTTGTTCAATTAGCCTCAAAAGACCAGAATGATATCTATGGACCACTAGTATTCTCTTCGTCTAACGATGACGCGATAAATATGATTCTGAGACAGGCTATGCACAAAAATTGTACAGGTAAGAAATGATTAGCTTTCGAAGTCTTGTCACTTTTTAAAAAAAAATTACATACCCCCCCTTCCCCAGTAAAGAATAAATAAAAAGAATAAAGCCATGCAAAAATTTTAATCTCAAAGCACTGCTCAGACAGCAGCTGATAAATGTTCAACAGTAAGTAAAATCTGTATTTTAATGGAAATTGATTACTTTAGGCCTAGAGAATTAGTTAATTTTGAAAAATACAATTGTATAAGTTGATAAGACTATTGTAACTGTTAAATGGTCAAAGATGTTAAAGGAGGTATACGAAGACAAAATGAAAAAAAAGTTATTGTTTTCAGATTGCAGAGTCTCAAGCAATACAGACGTTATAATAATACAGGACAATAATTTTTCTGGAGTTGTCTTCCAGTACTCACTGAGTGTTGCATCAGAAATAGCTCACAAATATTTTCTTACAAAAAAGGATATAAGAGTTGGACGAATATCTTTTGATGTGAACGACTTTGCCTATTACAGTCATGACGACCAGTTTTTGGTAAACTTGCAGAAACTTAGTCCTGGAGAAAATTCAGAATCTAATATAGAGAGTTTACTGTCGGATGCAGCTGTTCAACTTTCCTCATCTGGTCTCTCATCTGGTCTCAAAAGGAACAAGGTTATCGTTATCATTACAGATGGTCGTTGGTCAAATGTGAGTAGGGTTGAGGAGAAAATGAATGATCTCAGGCAACAAAACATCACAGTTATGATTGTGGCTGTAACGAAGGATTCTAATTTTACCACCTTATACAGAGTGGTGCAAGACCCTTTCTATGTTTTTTACATCAATGACAAGAACAGATGGGATATCATAGATATCATTATATCCCAGAGCTTTAGGGTTATTTGTGAGTGATGAATTATATACTTTTAAATTTAATTCGGCGAAGTCGAGATGATTGTATGATTTATCTTTATGCATCCTTACGCCAAGTCAGCAATATTTCAGCCATATTTCCGCGAAAATCGAATTGTGATAGAGAGTTTCTCGTATTATAATCAAATACTTTGGGGGGGGGGGGGTCGGCAAAAAAACGAACCAATTTCTAGTAAAAAACAAAAAAGTGTAAATATTGAGTTTAAATGTGCACAAAAATACCATATTTAAATGTACAGCTCACACATCAACCAATTTCACGCCTTGCACAAAAAGAATGAAAAAAAGATTCAAAGTAGTTTCTTGTAGCATTAACTGTATTACTGTTATGATTGGTATATAGCAGTGTTATAACTAATACCAATAACTATGCATCGAACTTTTTTTCAAAAAATATTTTGATTTGACTAAGTTAGATTCGATCATTTATTAATATTGTGTCGCCCGCGTGGCGCAGTGGTCAGAGCGTCTGCTCTAGAGTCGCGGAGTAAGGAGTTGATCCTTACGTCGCGGGTTCGAATCTCACTGTGGGACGTGGAGACCGGTCCTTCGGATGAGACCGTATAAACCGACAAACAAACAAACAAATTTATTAATATTGCAGTCTAGCTAGCAACAAATTTATGCATACTAGGATTGATATAAAGGAAAATGCAATAATATTCGAGAGATGTCACTTCTTTTCTTTAAAACATTTTCAATATAAGTACTTTTACAGGTCATTTTCTAGTCACATACACATGTGATCTACCTTTGTATTATTAAGAAATATACATATTATAATTTTATATAAGCTTGCTAATAATTATCAATTTTCTCTTGAGAATAAGTGCTTAATAAGATCTAGAGGAATAAGACTAGTTTAATTTAATTTCTCCTATTTCCAGCAGTTTTTATAACGTACTACCTTTGACTGATGTTTTAAAAGGAATATCCAGTTTAAGTAGCTGATAAATTACATTTGAATTATTTAAGGAACCCTGGAAAAGAAACGTTATAAGAAAGTTACTTGTTCAAATTGAAAAAAAGAGGAATAAAAGAATATTACATGAATAAAGTGTAGATGTTATTAGGAAAGCATATTTTGTCAATGCCACAATTTTGTTATGCTACGTTACACAACTCTAACTTTCAACATAGTAACAATGCAGGAAAAGTATTTAAAAAATAAAAATCGCATGTAATGATTACTAGTTTTTGTGTTTGAGTTTTTCTTTTGCGCATTTGACTAATTTTAAAGTATGTTGGGCAGCACGTGGGAAATCAAACGCCACAAGCAGAATGATAATAGTACATAAAATAAGAATGCCCAGGCTCCCAATACCACGGGCTGAAGGACGATGGTCCGGTACACTTATAAGTGTTCTTTTGTATTTATTGGTTTCCTTTGCTTCAACAGTCAGTTCTGCTTTCATTTGTTCTAACTTCTTTTGGAGCTCCTCGGGTGTGTACGTCACATTGTTTACCGTCCTACATGGACAAGCACAATAGGAAGATGATGAGGCTGCAGAAAGTATATAGATAAATTGTATTTGCAGTTTCTATCCATGTTTGTCAATAAAAGTCTTGTTATATTGAAATGCAAATAAAATAATGTATTTTTAATAATTTACATACCAAGAATGTCTGGGGAAGAAAATATCGATTCTACGGATGATTGTAGAGCAGGGGTGCTAGATATGGACATCTCAGATGATATTTGTGAAGTTATACTTGGTTCCAGTGATTGTGTTAATGATTCAACTCCTGTCGAGAAAATAGATTCTGATGACGGATAAAGAGTTGCGGTTGACGACATTGGTACGTCTGATTGTGATGATATGGATATCTCTGATGAAATCTGTGAAATACTTGATTCCATTGATTGCATTGATCCGTCGACGCTTGGGACTGACGAGAACACAGATTCCGATGACGAGTAGAATATTGCACTGGACGTCATTGCAATATCAGTTGATGGTGATATACTACATATCTCCGCCGGCGGAACAGTAGATTTTACAGTTGAGTACTGACTCCAGTTTATTAAAGCTAAAAAGTGATTGAAATATTTTAGCAAACTTTTCACAGTGTCAGCATCATTCTAAAGACAATCAACATCTTAACTGAACTAGGAGTGGCTTTTTCATATGTTTAATGCAATGCAAGCTATAAAATGTAAAAGATTGGCAAATTACACATACTATCCCTTTTAACAGAGGAAAAACAGTACATATCCTTCAAAAGCAAACATTGGTTGTTTCTTACTATGTGCATATAATGTTCCTCGACCTGGTGTGTTGACCGCATTTAAAAGAGTAGTGAATATTGAACATGTGGTAGGATTCCCCATTACGCCTGCGCAAGGGGAAACTACTTCGTGGCACTTTTGGGCACAAGATGATTCATCTATTGGGAAATATTCCTTTACTTCAAAGACTTTTTGATTATTTGCGTCAGTCATTGGATAAAAACATTGAGCTGGATCTGTCAAAATACACGTCAAAGAAATATTGAAACCTTTATGTTACAAATGTCATAACTTATCATTAAAACTATCTTGTTAAAGTGACTTACCTGCAGTTGTTTCTTCGCAGACATACCCTAATGAACTATGACAGTTATTTACTGAGTAGGTGTTTAATGCAGGATTTAACATCACACATCCCTCTTTCTGGGCCTCTAAAGGATTCGGCCAAGGGTTAAATCCTACACTAGACGTCAGTTGTGTGCAATCAGGCCATAAATGATACAAATTCCCATCCTTGGAGGTGGCGCTTAGTCCAATCCACATGGATTCTCTACAGAAAAAGAGGAACACTGAATAAGAACCAATGGCCCTTATCCGTATCTTATCTATTCTGATTAAAAAACAAATGGGACAATAGGAGAGAGACTGATAATATTTTATGAAGTACCAAGATCCTGAAGACTTGATATATTTAAGGATAACTGTCTCGTTTTTGTTTGTTTGGTTTTTTTTTTTTTTTTTTTGTTGTTGATTTTTTTTTTTTTTTACATTTTGTTTTGTTTTGTTTGTTGGTTCGTTGGTTTTATTATGCGATCAAGCAATTTGCTCGCGTGATAATTCGCATAAACGCCGAAGGTTATCGAGCAAACTGATTGATCATCATCTTTAAGAAAGCCAGTTTTTCCTTATATTTACATTTTTACTTGATTCCTAATTCAGTAAAAGGATTTTTATTCAATAATAAGAAATCTCTGCAAGCCCCACGCAGGTATTACTAAGCAACACGCAGCGAGATGCAGGCATTTCTGACACGTGCTGAGCAAATCGCTTTATTGGGATATAAAGCTCTTACCTTGGTTTAATCTCGGACAATGACATTTGAAAATATCAATGTAAATTGTTATATACATGTACATGTATAAAATACGTTATGGTATTACAATTTTTGAGAATATCAAATGAGTTAATATAAAAAAAGAGTATTTAAAACAGAACTTACACTGCTGTGGACAATATCGAGTTAATTCTAGACTGGACAATTGAACTGAATTGTGTGTGTTCATTTGGATCATCCAGTTTTAACAAGGTCTGATTATTGCCTTCACAGACGTTATAAGCCTCCATCCAAGACAAAGGGTGATAGTGAAAGTGATATCGACAATCCAGTTGTTTATCTATTTAATCAAATACACGCAATGACATTAAATAAATTTTTAAAAAAAATCTTTATGAAATGAAATTGACCTGAGGAAATTAGAAAGTATCAAGTACATTGAACTTTTCCTTTCACATATTACATCAGCCATCAGTAATCCCGATGCAAATCGTCCGAATTAATAAAGCGTCCGGATATCAGAAATGGATCTTTAATAATTGGTAGATATAAATTTAAAATCTATTCTCCATAAATTTCATGCGGAAGTTGAAGCGTCTGGATTATTAGCGTCCAGATTAACAAGGCTCCACTGTATTTATTCACTTTATGAAAAACAATATTCATAAAAGAGAAAATCTGGAATTTTACCGTTAACCTTTTTTTTTTCGTACTCACAGTCAGTTTGAGAAGCGCCCTCAATGTCCAGTAGCTTTAGTGGTAATATTATCAGCAACGTGTAAACGTATTGTTTATATATCAACATCTGTAAAACAAAAGTGAAAAGATCATGTTAAGTATAATTTGAAAAATCTAGAATATGCTTGATAATCCACAAAGAGCAAAAGTGGCATATGTGACTTGGGAAATACGCAGTCAGAGAATGGAGATATTGATATTTATTTTTCACCCTTTTTCTTTGATTTTCATATCTTTATCTGTGAAATTGACGTAGGTCTCTTTTTCATTAATCAGGAATATGTTAAAAAATTACAAATAAATAAATAGATTAATTGATAATAATAAATAATATCATACTAGTACATGTACATGTATATAATAATACGATTATAATTAGTCTAGATTTTGACTTTGATCTTGTTATTGTGAATGATAAACATTAAACACTGTTGGGGATAAAAGTATTCTAATCATTGCCTTCCAACTACATAAACAGGTAAATTAAGATAACATTTTTGAATTTCCATCTCTTTTATATCATATAATTTTAATTGAACACGTGAGGTTTTTTGTCAAATTCTGTCGACACAATCGATATTGGACTTGGGATTGATGAGGATAACCCATGCTGATTTTTTAATTTACTTTTTTGTGGATAAAGCATTATGAAATGTTTTAATTCCATGGACCACTAAGTTTACTTGGCCATGACATTTGATCAAACAAACACATTAATCTGTGTTATGAATGATTCTGATTACGATCTCTTAAATTAAACTTATATCAATTAGATTAATATCATAGCTGCTGGCCTTCAACATTAAAATTGATAAGAGATATACATTAACCTCTGTTGCAATGTATTTCTAGTAGAACATTTCGATCATATTCATATTTTTTGCAAGGATAGATTAGAATGCATTCTTTAAGCCGAGACGAATGTTGCTGTTGATATTAACCTTTGAATCCAACATTCTCTACGTCTCAATCCATTGTCTCATTTACTTAGTTATTTAAGATTTATATATACGTCTTCTGACGATTTCGAATTTCTCCTTTAATTCTTATGTAAACCACACTGTCTGAAGCAGTGAATAAGATCTGCTTTTTAAAGTCATACAACTCAAAATATGAAAGTGTTGAATATAATTTTTTCATAGTTCTTCAATGTTACTACGGATCAATACAAGCAATTCAATATTTTATTCATTTCCACAACTTTATATGAATAATTTAAAAACAGCTATAAACACCAAAATAGTTTTTAATGTATTTCACATAACAGTGTTCTGTGGCAAAATCTTTTCCGAAATAATATATAAGAAATATTTAGGACCAGCCCTTAATTCCTTAACGAGACCGTTTTGTGAAAAAATTAAAGATTACATATTCTTTAGAACATTATTCTGAAAATCTTTTATATATTCAATATTGTTTATCAAAATATTTCTCCATTCGAGATGCTGAGCATCGAAGATTTAGTATTTTAGCCACTTATGGCCCTTAATTACGCAACATAGATCCAAATATTATTATCTATAGTTGCAGATCGTTAAGATAATATACTATAATTTTTGACCCCATGACACTGAAGTTTGACCTACTTCAGTTTAACATTTGTAATACCTTTTGAAGGAGAGAAGAAAAGGGTTTCATATTTTACAAGTATATTAATACCTGTGACATCATCTTTCAAGAAATGCTAACATTTTTGAACCCTTGACCTTGACCTTGAAATGACCTACTTTCCGAAATTGGTAATAAATTTTGAAGAAGAGAAGATAAGGTTTTCATATTTCGTAGGTACATTGCCTGTAACGTCACCTTTTAAGTAATATCACTTTTTAACCTCTCATGACCTTGACGTTTCGCCTACTTTTTAAATTGTTTTAATCTTTGGCTGAAACTTTTGCACCTGAATAGACATGGCTTTCATATTTTTACGTGTCTATAGCCTGTGACAAGACCTTTCCCATATATGATGTGTTTTTTTTTACCTTATGATCTTGACCTTGACGTTAGATCTACTTTTCAAACATTTAACCTTAGTCGTAACTTTTGCACATGGCTTTCATATTTTTTCCTATACGCATTACTTGTGATTACATATTTCAAAATGTAATGTGATTTTTGACCTCACGACCCAGACCAGTTTGACATTCAAGAACTATGATCTTGGTCTAAAATATTCTTTTAAACTTATAAAACATTTTTTTTCAAATGATAGCTAGACAAACCAGGACAGATTGATTGAATGTTGTTTAACGTACCATTTGAGAATTTTTTCACTTGTATAGAGACGTCACCGTATGCCGGTAAAGGGTTTCAAATTTAGACCTATACTCGGCACTCAGGGCCATTGAGCATTGAGGTTACTTTATCGTGCCAACGCTAGCGTAACATAGGAGCTCGGTTTTTTAAGGTCTCATCCGAAAGACCCTTGACTTCCACTTCTAGTGCCGGGCGCTTGGCGAAGGAACAGTCACTACATATGTTTACGTCTTAGGTTTGACGGGGAGCGTCGACCGAGAATCGAACCCTGGCCTCCCAATCACGAAGAGAGCGCCCTACCACTAGGCTACCGTGACTGGTCAAACCAGGACAGAAAAGACAGTAACGATATACCTCAAATCATTGCATGCCAAGACTGCCAACCAATAAGTCCTCGAAAGGAGGAGGACCACAATTCTCTGACTTTGCTCGTAAATTGTTGTTGTCTTTGTTTTGTTTTTACTATTGAAATTACTTCAACAAAGTTGGGGGGGGGGGCTTTGTAATACCCTTGAATTCGGCGTCCCAGGTTAAACTTTTTGGAGCATATTTCTTTTCCTGTACTTCTATGCCCTATATTAATCAGAGATGCATGGACGATGTTTCTACTCTCTTGTATGTTTCATTGTACCAGTCAGGCTTCAGATGCTGGATTTTCAGCCAATCTTTGATTACCTGTGTTGTTTTGCTACTTTTTTTCTGTATGTTTCCTCGTCGTTTTTCTATTCTCTTTATTGTTTTTTGTTTTGGTTTAATATTTATTTAAACTGTTTATGGTATTTTATGGTATCGTTTTAGATTTAAAAAAAAAATTATAACTATATCTTAAAATATATTTATATATTTATGTAACGGAAACAATTCAGATTAACGGTAACAGTAATTAAGACCTTCATGATCACCTAATATCATCCATTTAAACTCCATTACGAAAAAGCATCCATGCTGATTGTTAATTAATCTGATGAATGTACAACTGGCTTTTGACTGACAGACAGATATGTTCCCGCCATTTATGACCTATAGCCTCTAAGAGAAGATAATATCATACTGTAACTAGTGCTAATTGTAACGGAAACCGTTACAGATGTTCCCCAAACGGCTCCCCAATCCCTTATGATGCTCAATTCCCTACAAGCTTCATTGAATTTATAGGTAATATTTTTGTAACATAGAGGGGCACTTTATTTTTAAAGGTATGTAATGAGTAATACAATGTGTCTATACCTTCCAAACACTGAGGTGAGACTAGGACTAATGGTATAGTCCAGGAGCCTGTTCACCCCTGTTTGGATGGTATAGCCCTTTACTATATAAAAGGCTGCAGAGGCAGTATTTGTCATTCTGAAGTCAGAAGTCTGCATTGATAGGAAGCTTCTGAAGAAGAAAAGAAGGTAATTATTGAAGTAGCCATAGTGAGAGATGTTTGAAAGGCTAGGGTGGAAGTAGTAGCACTAGTGAAAAGTAAACCAGGGGATTGGGAGATACGAGGTGCAGTAATCCTGGATAAGGGTGAGACACCGAGTACTCTTAGAACTTGGTTGTGGAACACAGTGCAAGTTGCCCAGCCACTTCTACATTTAACCCAGTAAGAAAGAACCTCAGTTTGTGTCACCACTGTAAGAAAATAGAACACGGGACAAGTAACCCAGTAAATCAACAATATTCATTGTAAATAATATTAATTTCCAGTGTTAATCATAGGCTCAAGTAGAGCCAGAGGAAAATTGTATTCATACTTGTCTAAATTAAGACCCTTTTCCCTTTGAAAACGAACCCTTAGGTTACACGTTACAGGTATTTTATTGGAAAACTACTCCGATATACCCATATGGGTATTAGCCAATCAAATTTCATTGCATGTGCTTGCACTTGTTTTTCTACATTTTTCACATAAATTTTCTTATAGTGGTCGCCTGCGTGGCGCAGTAATGAGAGCGTATATGCTCAAGGGTCGCGGAGTAAGGAGTTGATCCTTACGTCGCGGGTTCGAATCCCACTGCGGGACGTGTAGACTGATGCCGTATAAACCGAGGTCCTGTGTCTCAGTAGGTGCTGGCTCGAAAAGGATCCCTCAATGCTCAATGGCACTGAGTGCCAAGTATAAGTAAAAAAAGTTACAGCTCTCCGCCGGCAAGTGGTGGGTCTCCATATGAGTGAAAAATTCTCGAGAGAGACGATAAACAACAACAATCAATCAATCAATCATATAGGTCTTACAATATATACATTTGTGTTAAATATCAAAGAATTTCATTGAAAAATAAAAGAGATATAACCATTTAAGTATTAGCCAATCAGAATTCAGCATACGCGCATGCATGACGTTGCATTCCATTTTGATAGCATCATAATGTAGGAGCCCAATGTGCCTATCTATATGATAAATTTCATCCTTTTTTGTTGAAAACCAAGGGAGTTGTAGACATTTAAACTTTCAGCCAATCAGATTGCAGCACACCAATATGCGCATGTTTTCCAGAAATTTCCTATATTACATGTAGAACCTTATAATATATACTTATATTATAAATTTCAAAGTATTTTGTCAAAAAACAAGTAAGTTTTTGAGATTTTTATATCAGCCAATCAGAGCGAAGCGCACGTGCATGCACGTGGTTCATGCTAATTTGACCATGTCATCTCATCTAGACTACTAATGTATCTTTATACATGTATTCTGAGTTTCAAAGCAATTCATCAAGAAATATAAAAGTTAATTTTCTTTCTTTTTTTTCTTTTTTTTTGCAATCCATGCTATTCATTCAATGATTTGTTAATTGTTGGTGGTAAGATCCTCTGTGCGCATTAATAGCAATAGCCATATAAGGTAAACAAAGGTTTGTCATACACATTTTTTTCTACCGGCGTATTGGGCTATTTTGGAAAAATTAACACTACTAATTTAAGCTCCAATTTTCGCCGTAAATTGTCACAAAAGCGAAGATTAATTAAGTAGATTGTGATTTTTTATATCCCACCCATTTCTGTTTAAACTCTTGAAAATCAATCAGAAAGTTTTTAAAAGAAACAGATGATAGCAATTTGCTGTTTACTGCCAATCTTATTTATAAAACCGGTTCTACCATATAACCTTTGAATGGGTCATTCTACACCATGTGCCTTGAATTTAAATCACAATAATATTAGTAGGTGTGACATGTTTGACATGTTGTCCATGTCTCCAACAAATACTGTACAAACACTCATAACATAATGCACTGTATAAACACATATAATTACATTTCAACAGTTTAACAAATGTTTAAAAAGTGAAAAACACTGTTGAAAAGCATTTAGTAATAAAAGCATTAGTCTCTTCGCTACTGGCGTCTGTCTTGTTTACATTCACAACGATACATGCTTTAAAATGTGCAATTTGATTGGTCGATAAAAATTCTATGCTTGGACAGGAGGGAATAAACCGGAACTTCATTTCGAGGTGAACTCACTCTGAGGTACAGCTCGGAAAAAGAGGGTAAGGTCCAATCAGAGGGCATCGAAATGCATGATTTTACCAAAATCAACAGCTTAAAAACTGACTTTTCAACTTTATACACAACCATTCCCCACGATAAATTAAAGTCCAGGCTTTTTGATATTATTGACAGCTGCTTTTTCAATAAAAATTGAACTCGTAGATTTACTTACCTAGTCATTAGTCATTTGCAAAATTATTTTTTTAAAAACATTCTGAATGTACACACAGGTACTCTGAAGTTGACATTAAAAAGATGCTTGAGTTTCTGATTGACAATATCTATGTGGTTTTTGGAGACCTGGTCTTCCAACAATCTATTGGAATTTCTTTGGGTACCAATTGCGCCATGTTATTAGCTGACCTTTTTTGTATTCATGAAGAGAAGAAAACACTTGCTGTGGCCTTCAATTCGACATTTAGATATATCGACGATGTATTGTCAATTAACAATGGTTATTTCCATTCTTATGTCGATACGATATATCCTGGTGAGCTTGAGATAAAAGATACCACAGAGTCTGACACATCTGTTTCATATTTGGATATTGTACTTAAAAAGGATGTTAATGGTAATCTAACAACCAAGCTTTATGATAAAGGTGATGACTTTAACTTTTCAATCGTCAACTTCCCTTACTTATGCAGCAATATACCTTCATCACCTGCATACGGGGTTTATATCTCTCAGTTGATTCGATACGCAAGAGCATGCTCTACGTATGTACAATTTCTAAAACGAGGTAAATTATTGACAAACAAGTTGATGAAAGTTTAAAGTCATCATTTCGTAAATTCTATGGTCGATACAATGACCTTGTCAGCAAATACAATTTATCATTGAGTCAAATGGTGACTGACGTTTTTCATACTAATTGTTACACCATTATTTACACATTGAATTTTCGACGGATTTTTCCGTTATTTCCCGATCATGACAAGGAGCACACGGCGGGTGTGACCGGTTGGCAGGGGATGCTCACTCCTCCATGGCACATGATCCCACCTCTAATGTTTTGGAGGTCCGCGTTTGCTCTGCTCCTATTTTGTATTGTTTACTGGACTTTTGAGTCTGAATACTGTTCGTTATCTCCATATATTTCATTTAATAATCAAATTTAGAATAAATACAATGTATGATAAAATCCGACAATTATAAATCAATTGTAATATACTTCTATAAAGTTAATATATGTTTACCTTTAACTTAATACATGTATTTGGAACTTTTCATTTTTTCAAGCAAATCGTCTCTTAAAAATCAGCAAAAAACCCGGTCTCATTGGCTACCGTTTCAACTTGATGTATCTTCTGAGTCACGTGTTTCGATTATCTGAAATTGACATCGACGAAAAAATGTAGAACTCGCTATAGTGTATTTTTACAAATGCTAAATATGTTGTTAACAAAAAAGACAGCAATATCGTTTATTTTAATATTCATATCCATCCTGAAATGAAAAAGAAACTGAATCAACTATAGAAAAAATGTTTTTAATTTGTAATCAAATTACGGTGGTTTGTTCTATAAACACATTCATTTGATCATTGATTGCTAAAAACTACCAACAAAACGGTTAGGAACTTAAAAGCACACAACATACCAGTAACATCAAACGGTGCTATAACATTAAACGTTTAATATTGTTATGTCAATGACATATAAATATTCAAACAGTTGAAACGAAAAGAGAATAAAAAATGATCTGTAATCTGACTTGATACAGAAAGTGATTCATGCAAAAGAGCAACAAGGCATCACATCTGATGAAAAGAGCAATATATTTCTAGTGATCGAATATTTTGAGTTTTGCTTGTCAATGTAGGAATGGCTTCATTTGGTTTAGATTAAGCTTCTTTAAATTTGTATCTGCCTTATGTAACAATTGATGCTGAAAGAGTATCCATTAAAAGAAACAAGTTAACAGGTAAATGAAATATGGAGATAACGAACAGTAATCAAGCTCAAAAATCCATTGAAACAATACAAATTAGGAGCAGAGCAAACACGAACCTCTGAAAACATCAGAGGTGGGAACAGGTGCCATTTAGGAGTAAGGATCCCCTGTTGTCCGGTCACATGCACCCGCCATGTGCTCTTTGTCATGATCGGGCACACGAAAATAAAACCGTAGATAATTCAGTATGAAAAATAATGGCCTAACAATTTGTATGAAAACGTCAGTCAACATTCGATTTAACGACATATTGTTTTTGATGACAATGTCATTGAATAGACCATAGAATTTGCGAAATGTTGACTTTAAACGAGACAGTTGATATTCTTGTAACATCGTTTTATTTTTCAATAGCTTACCTCGTTTGAGAAATTGTTCGTTCGTAGAGCATGCTCTTGCGTATCGAATCAACTGGGAGACATAAACTCCATATACAGGTGATATAGAGGATGTTCCATGTTTTGTAGATGAATATGGATATTTATTTCAGGAGTGGGACAGGATTTTTTTTATATATTTTTACGAGTGCGAAGCACTCGTGAAAATATAAAAAAAAAAATCCTGTCCCACTCCTGAAATAAATTCCATATTCTTCTACAAAACATTGAATTTTCTGTTTATTACATTTTGTTTATTTTCCCTTTGCCTCTGCCTTTTCTTAACACAGTTCATAGGCTTGACGTCATAGTTGAGCGGTTGAGACATCATAGCTTACCAATTGTGAGATTGAAAACATTACATAACATAGATTTTAGCAACATGTTTGGGAAGAAATTTGCAGTTTTAGCTCTATCAAGATGATAAGTTACTATCTCTATCTTATGACAGGCCAGAAATTATTTTTTACTTACTTTGATGTCCTTTCACACTGTGAGAGAATATCATTTTGGTTTCCTTTCACACTGTGAGAAAATATCACTTTTATTCTATAAATAAATCACAGTATTTCACTGTTGAAAATGTAATAAAATGGAATATTCTATATAAATAATGGAAGTTGACGATAGAAAAATTGAAGTCATTACTTTTATCATAAAGTTTTGTTGTTTGCTTACCATTAACGTATTTTCCAGTAAAATATCTAAATATGAAACAGATGTGACAGACTCAGCGGTGTCTTTTATTTGGAGTTCAAAAGGATATATAGAATCAACGTAGGAATGAAAATGAATATTATTAATTGATAAATATTTACATCCATTGGATAGTGTCTCCTTTATTTCTTTAGAAAATCACGGTTGTTAATCAGTACTTAAATGCCGCTTACGTGGGTTATGTATTTTTTCTGCAACAGTTTTATATGTATGGAACTACAATTGAATAAGTTCATTTTGATTGGTCAATTACCGGTGTGATACCCTTAGTCGACTCTAACCCAGTCTTGTCTTGGGAATAAAACCAACTCCGAGCCCGATGTTAAAATCCTCGTAGCAGAGAAATGAGAATTTTGCTGTTTTATTAATTAAGTCTTCCGTTCACAACGGAAGACTTATAGTGTTTGTATTGTTTCTTATTATTATTATTATTATTCCTCCCAAATTTTGTGAGCGCTATTACATATGGATGCAATATTAATTCCCATACTAACAACCAAAGAAAGCATTGTTTAAATCGTCGTCGATATATCTAAATGTTGAATTGAAGGCCATATCACATTTTTTCATGTAGAATTTTTTGAAAGAAACAAAAAATATAATGTACACATGTATATTAGACTTACCTTAATGCTCAGCACACCAACTATCAAAAAAAAAAAAAAAAAAAAAAAAAAAAAAAAAAAAAAAAAGAAAGAAAGAAAGAAAATTAACTTAATTACAAGAAGCTTTTACTTCATTGTTATTTCTCCGCTTCACGTTTTGCGTGAGACAGACATCAATGAATAATGCACAGCTAGATCTATTGACTTTCGAATTTATTTATTTCTTTGGTCCTAAAAATGTTGACAGTTTATTCTTTAACTTTCTAATGGGCATGACAAAGAAAATATCATGGTTAAGGCAATTCATCAGTCAATAATATCTGAGTAAATACCTGCATTATGCGCAACATCGAGAATATTTATTTAGCAGTTGCATTCACGTATTATTGTGCAATCTTCATTTCAAGTCAATATGTTTAGCAATTGTATATTCACCAAGAGTAAGTTGGTGTCATGACCTCGTAATTTTTTAAAACTCTCTGTTTATAAAGGTGGGTTCTTAATGTTATTGTTTTCAAATTATTTTATTTTGAATTTCAAAGGGCAATCCATCTTCGACAGGTTTACAACACATTTAATTTAGTAAATAATTTACTTCGAAAAGATTTACAGCGGTTTCGACTGTCTTTATTTTATATATTTAAAACACATTCTATGTTTAGTTGAGAAACCATCGAGTGAATTCTTTTTTCCTTTCTTTTTTATTTTTGTTTTTCAAATTTAATACATAATATAGAATTTAAAAAAAATATATGCGGACTTCTTTTAAGACGATCACTGTAGTGCAACGAAAGAATATGACTATTGATGTCGATTTAAAGTTAATTATCTTTTTTTTTTACCACATCTAAATAGCATTTCCTCATAGAGTGTAATTAGATATGCCAACCTTAAAACGAAACCTAATCTGGATAACAACTGTCGATATCCTTTATTAAAAATTAACACCTATTGTTTTTCATGTTGTCTAATTTTTTCACTGAAACAGTACTTTTTGTTAATAATGAATGTTTATGACAGTATTTTAATATTTCACAATGATCCTGTATACGTATTTGATTATCTAAACGCAAACCAAGTAAAACGTTAATTTTAATAGCACTCTTATCAGCGGATGGTATTTGACATTTTGTACATTCAAATTGACTTCATATGCTCCCTTTAGAGTTTTTACTTGACCCCACTTCATTACCAAAAATACGTTCTATTCCCTTTTTTCTTCAAGATATTGACTTTTATTTTAAATATAAAGCACTACTTAAAATACATTTTTTTAACGAATTGTGTTTACCTTGGAGATGAAAAAAGTACTATTTGACAAACGTAAATATATTGAAACAAAACCCTTTTTCCCTTTTGAAACAGAATCTGACATACTTGTGAAACGTAAACAATTCTTGACAAGTTTTCTGATGTTAGTCCAGATAGGGATGAGATTTGTGGAAAAATTCTGTTTGGTCAGTAATCCTATCACAATGCCCTTATGACCAGTTCCCATCAAGTGTTTAATTACTTATTGGAAATAAACAGGAGATGGTTAATTCCATCGATTTTTAGGGTTCTCGCTTAATAACAACTAAAATCCTAGTACCTTTAAATAATCAAAGTGATTCGTTCATTCTGAACTAATTAAATTATATGCGTACCACTGAAACTTTTGTACTATGGTTATAATAGAAGAAGAAATTATATAAAATTTAATCCCTCCAAAGAATACCAAGGAAAAGAATTGATTTATGTATTGCAATGTTTCCACCAAAAGCTTTCATCGATATGTTAGGAGCTTTACTTTGCGATTCTCAAATCTATACATTTCTTAACCTAATGTATTGAAATGGATTAATTTTGATAAAAAGAAATATGTTTAAAAGACCAACAACAGGAATCCAAATGGCAAAAACACTCAGCTAAATGACATTGACCCTGCTTGAAAAAATTTTCAAAGATTTAAAAATTCTTCCTAAGTTCTTGTCAAACTTTGATTCCCTATTGAAGCTGAACAGTCGCGCCATACGTGGGCAATGGCATAACCAATCTTTTTTTCCTTCATGGAGTTGATGGTAATTTAATATGGCAATTTTGGTCCTGCTGTTTTTTCGAAAGATTTTTGTCCATCCCATGTAAAATTTGGACCATACTGTTGTGACCCCACCCTAGTTCCGAAGGCCATACTCGAACAAATTTGACTTTCCTCTACACTACATGGAGACGTCTGTATAACAAAATGGTTACTTGTTCTTTCTGTTTTGGAAAAGAATAATGAAAATATATAACCAGACAAAAACCATGGGAGCACGTGTCATCAGATTTCAAAAATACGATATCATCCCATGATCATGATCGTTCATCAACCATTTGTTCCGGACGATTCGATTTTCGTCTTTGAAAAAATGGTTTCCTTAGTTTCAGTAAAATAAAACTTAATTCACGTGGTGCAATGATCCGTTTTATTCAAATTCTTAGCAGTAAAGAGTTACAAAACTCGAAATGTTCCATAAAAAATCTATACTTGCGATATGAATCTTTAAATTGATTGGCTTGTTTTACTGAAAAATGTTGATTACATTATTGTAGGACCATTAGACAAATCGTACCTTTCCACCTTAATTGAGATATTTCCAAAATCAATATCAAGCATTGAAGAAATGAAAAATTCAAACGTCCAGTCCTTTGTAAT